GCCAATAATGGTGTGCATGAGACCCAGCTGAAAAGTTCTAATTATTCCTCAAACAATGGGTTGAGCTAGAAAGATGGACACCGCAGCCAACCTGTCCGTAGGATTACTCCCTTCCCCAAGTAGTTTGGGCGTAATCGCGAAGAATGTCCAACCTTCGCGGCGTCACAGAGAAACACTAGAGCGCTGCGGCCATCATAAGTAGCAGTAAGATACGGTAGGACGTCACATATAGCTATATAAGGCAACTTATGATGAGCGCAACGCCGTCGGCACTTACGGAAGAGCTGCGAAAGGAGGTCAGTTTGTGACATAATGCTCCGGACTACTTGAGCACCGGATGAATCCTGTTGGTTAGGCGCGGGATCTTTTTGAAATTCCTTCACCTGTGTCACAGCGCCAGAAAAGTTGAGCTGGAAATCGTTGCGAAATATGGATGAAAACGCCGACATTACAGCTGACTGAATAACCAAGCCTACTAGAAATCTGCAAACGACCCTCATTCAATAATCTACATATTTCAAACTCAAAGGGAGAAAAAGTAGGTGAATAGTACTTCTCATCTGAAGGAAATCGCGTCATTTTCATTATTGCAATGGAATGAAGAACATTGTAGATCAGAACTGAGCTAAAACATAGCCACGAATCTGTGCTTGTCCAGGGTACTCGTTGCAGCTGCTCAGCTAAATTGTACTACTCGTCAATTTGAAAGACCGTGAATATAAGGAAAAATCAAGAAGAAAAAGGTCGTAAAAAGTCAAAACTGGGAATTACCTTTGCTAAGGAATTTCAGCAACACCCAAGATATACCAAAAGAGAAGAGCTCCCAAAACGATGCTCGAGAACCATGTCGACAACGAAAAGGTGGAAGAAAGTGCATCTAAATAATCAAGCAGGGTTGCCACTAATGAAAAAAATTTTACCGAAAAAATGCACAGGGGTAGCACAGGTCATTACCCGTTGAAAGGTAGGAGACCATGCCATCTAACACGTTAATGGGATGACGCTCCACATAAGAGTGCATTCATACTTCGCGATCTAATAGCGAAGTATGAACGCGCTCTAGTACTTCAGTAAAGGTAAAGCTGGACGCTCGTTTAGTTGTAGGGAGCCACGCAGCGACAGTAAGCCAGCGGTGACCATATTCGTCCACTCCCTTTTTAGCCTGAATCCGGGGATAGGAGACTACTGTCTTGGTGGGAGGAAGAACGCGCACAATCAGAGTCCCATTGCTAGCTCTATCCCTTCAACTGCAGTGCCAATGTCTGTATTGTCTCAGTCAATGACGCCTCAAACACGTATTTCACGTTATGCGTGACGTCAGTGACACGTCATCCACTCTTTCACGGGTAATGTACTGGACCGCGAGCCTGTGCTACTTTGGCACTTCACGGAAAAAGAAAAATGTAACAAGTACCACTGAAAAAATTGCAGCGGTGATCGTATTGAGAACTGTAGAAGCAATAAGGGATACGAAGAAAAGGAAAGCACAAATGACGCTTGCACATGCTGAAGCCCTCAGCTGACGATTTTCGATCTGAAAAAAGAATAATATCAAAAGTACACCATGACGTTCTCAAAATCGGAAGGAAAACGAACCATCCCGAGAAACCAGTCCAAAACTTTGTCGTGAACAGTAGGTAATCTTTGAATCTGCTGCGGACTTGGACCTGCGCGAGCTCCTCTCTGATCCACTTGTGGCTTGGTTGGGGAGAAGAACGAATCCTCATCGAATGTGGACCTATACCTTTGCAATTCCATATCAAAGTGATTGAAAATTGAAGAAAACATTAGAAGCTCGAAAAGACGTAGTAAAAACCATACGTTAAAATCAGGACCTTCGCTCACCTTCTACTCAATGATGCTAGCGGCGACGTCGCCGCCTCACCAAAAACCGACGGCTGATGGGCGCAGTCACCCAGCATTACGATCTGAAAGCTCCATGCATAAGACTGCGTTCACACTTCGCGTTGGGAGCATCGGAGGATCAGAGGAACGATGTTTTAGGAGAACGTGCGCAAGGAAATGATTAGTTTCGAACGGTGAGGGCCGCTAGCGTTTTGAGAGAATAAGAGAAATGGCGAATCGACGTCGAATAACTTGCGATCGATCCCCTCGACACCCTACCATCCCGTTGGCGCGCATTGCCCTAAAATGTACTTCCAGCGCGAGAAGTTATGACGCGGTTTTATAGCTAGTACTGCTATGCTTACCACGGGTGATGATAGCAA